ATGGAGAATATCCATTTTGTTCACTGCTCTTTTTCTGGAACCTTAACTAGTACCAACACATAGCAAGTGCTCAATAAGTGTTTATTAAATTAATCAATCCTTATTAATGAATTATTAAATAAATGTCTGTAATCCTAACACGGTAGGAAGCTGAGGCAGGAGGAATGCAAGTTCAAGCCCAGCCTGAGCAACTTAGCAAGACCTTATCTCAAAATAAAAAGTAAAACAGGTCCAGAGATGTAGCTCAGTGTGAAGGCTCTAGGTTCAATCCCCAGTAGCACAAAAGTAAACAAACTATAATGAGGGATATCAGATGATGACAGATATTCTAAAAAGCGGCACGAGGCAGATGGGTCTTAGATTATTACAGAGGTACAACCCAGGGAAGCAGTTCTTTGGCCGTTGCAGCTGCAAGACACGTCTATATGCTGAATGAAATACACCCCCCTCCCTTTTATCTCAGTTCATTCACCTGTGACACCACAGCCCACCTGGAGATTTAAGACGAGCTGCAGTGGTGAAAGAGCAGAAATAGAACTCTACCTGATTCTGGATTAATGTCAAGGAATGGTAAACTAGTCAGATGGAAAATTGTAGATAAAAGCACACACTTACTCTTCAACTAAAAATAACCTAAAAAGAAAAAAAGCTAAAGCTGTTCTCAGAGGACAAACCTCCATGGTATTCATCTAGATTCCCTCATCTCCACTTAAACGAATCACTCCCTCCTTCTTGCTACTTTTTTCTTTTCCCTTGCAACCCAACACTCATGCCAGCCTGTGCCTTTGCAGTTTCCCTAGGCCTGTCACCCATCCTGCCCACTGAAATGCCATGACCCTTCACACCATGAGCCTGGTTTTCTGCACTCATGTTCACCTTTCATTGACTGCCATCTCCTCTGAACTCCTGGGGCCACAGAAGTGGTGCCAATTTTGTGCTGTCTTACACTGTTTGTTAATTCTTTTATATGCCTTAGAACTATCATGGATGCTCCTGAATGCAGGGAGGAAGAGTCCTATATTAATCCCACCCTATACCTTCTACAGAACTCCTATACAATGCTGGAGCATACTACATGGTGAAGGTGCACCTTCAATGGTTGGTACATGAACTAGCAATGAATGAAACTGCGTGTATGTCTCCCGCACCTCATCACAGAGCTCACCACTGGTGGCACAAAAATCATCAGATCTGTGCTAGAGTTCCGCAAGTCCACAGCCCCAGAAAGGTCAGAACCTCATGGGAGGCCAATGTGAAATGCACAGAAAAGCTGATTCCAGGACTAAAAACCATAGTGGCTTTTAAAGACCACAGAGAAAATGAAAGATTTACACAAATGTTTTCCCCAGGGAGACCTCTGTCTCTATAATGTTTCCAAGCCGCAAATGCAGCAAAAAAGATGAGGGTGGAAAAAGAGCTCAGCTGGGCAGAATAGGGCTTCACTTTTACTGAGAATGAAGGCCCCATCTGAGGATTTCTGTACTTCTTGAATGTGTTCTGAAAACGTGGATTCATATCCCCAAAATGGTTTAAGTACAGCATGACTGATGAACATACAGAAAAGAAGGAGGGAAGGAAGGGAAGAAGTGAGGAAGGAAAGAAGAAAGAGAAAAAGAAAGAAAAGATACTTTAAAAAGTTCCCACATATTTTTCCTTTGGGTTTCATGGGTCAAAATTAGCAAAGTGACTGGCGATTTCCCCGTTCTTGATGAGACTTGGTTTCATATTTTCTGGTACCTTCCTCTCAGCAAGGTTTTAGAGAGAAGGGAGAGCCTAATTGGAAACAGAAGCCTTTTCTCATTTTCTGTCATGGTGAGCAGACAGTGCTGCAACAGAAATGCTTCCCAGCAGGAGAGTTTCCACTCGGTAACTAACACAAGCTTCTGGAGCACAGGGACAAGCTGTTCCGTTTTCTGAAGGACTGTCTGCTCTGGCATAGGGCTGGACAGCTCTGTCACGAGCAGTATGGTCAGTAAAGCACACAATTTTGAAAGATGACTATGTTGAATAGGGCAATAAAGTGAGAGAATAAAAAGCCACAGATACAATCAAGTTTCTAGTTGTTCTCAAAAGTGAAGATGAAGTGTCTACAGTATATAAGACAATACTTGCCCCCTCAAAATCACTTACTGGTATTTTAAGTATTGTGGTAGACTGAACACAAGTGTTTTTGTTTGTGTGCGTGTGTCCACCCCAACTCCCATTAAGATGAAACTAAAGGAATAAAATGGATATAAATCCAGAAGACAATATAATGGAGGAGAAAATACAAGTGAAAAAGCCAGGCATGGTGGCGCATGCCTGTAATCCCAGCACTCAGTAGGCTGAGGCAGGAAGATCACTGTGAGCTCAAGGCCAGCCTCAGCTACATAATGAGTTCAAGGTCAGTCTGAACTACATAGTGAGACCTTGTCTCCAAAAAAACAGAGTGAAGGAGAAATGTCAACAAATGTTTGGCTGATAAAGCCTGGCATGGAAGCACATACCTATATAACCAGCTCTCTGGAGGCTGAGTCAGGAGCATCACTGTGGTCCGGAGGCCAAACTAGGCTACACAGTGAGTTCAAGTCCAGTCTGAACTACATAGCAAGACTCTGTCTCAAAAAAAACAAAACAAATGTTGGCTGACAAGAGAAGATGGAGGAGAGGTAACCGTTTTGCCAGAACACGGAGGCTGGACCCCCGTGCTGACAGTGAACATGTCAGTTCAGTGAACGATTTGAGGACTGGAAGCTACACAGGTACAGCTAAAAGATTAAAGCTAAAGCATGGGGCTTAAAGCTGAAGGACTGAGTGAGAAATCTGGGGATTTTTGAGAAGATAACAATTTTAATATGTATCATTATGTTATACAAAGAAAACTCTGTTTTAAAAAAGGAAGTTGGATAACTAAGTTTCTCTTTCTGTGCTTTTCACAGGGAAGTCCTGACTCCTCTGTCTTCCCAGGAGAAGGGAACTTCGGGAAACTAGACTCAGGAGTCAGCCAGTTTGTAAACAAAGTTGGTGTCTCTAGGCCTTTTCGCTGAGGTGGTTCTGTTTGTGGCACGAATAGGACTCCCTTGAGCTCCCACAGGCCCCCAGCTCAGACAATGCTTGCAGCAGTTACCCACTTCCCACTGACAGACAGGTGATTTAAGCATTCTCTGTAGAAAAAGTCTACAGACTCTGGACAGTGACATCTGGAAACCCTGTGACGAAAAGGTCTACAGAAAAGCCTGCTGTTTCCAGTCAGAGCATTTTCAAACAGCTTGTTAGCATCTAATATGATACATTTGAGTAAGTTGAGAGAGAAACACATAGGAAGACATGCAAGAAATCCTGTGGGTAATATCCTGAAAGATGTAATGGAGAGTATATCCTTAAAGAATAGGATGTTTGGAAGAATAGACAACAACAACAATAGCAGTATTTATTATGTATCATATGTGTTAAAACCAACTTAATTCCTATACTTTAATCCTTATTTATTGTCCATGAGTTGGATATAATTATCTTCCCAATTTTATAGAAGAGAAAACCAAGACACAGAAAGTATAAAGAACTTGCCAGAGGTTACACAAATAGAAAGGAATGTGTGTGATATAAGTTTGCTGATTTCAACAACTACCTTATATTGTCTCCAAAGAGATCCTTTAAGAAAACATTTGGAATAACTCAATCTAATAACACAAAAGAAAAGATGAAAAAATAAAGAATCAACCCAGGAGTTCCAACGTCTGAAAGAAAAATGTACAGAGAAGAGAAAATGGGAGGAATTATTTTTAAGAAGTACAATAAATAACATTTCCTGACAAAGAAAATGAATGTTGAGACAAATGCCTTCAGAATAAATTATTTTTTTAAAAGACCTACACCCAAAACCATCATAGTAAAATTTTACAACTCCAGAGATGAATACTCTGAAATTTCCAGAGGAAAAACAGATATCACTTCTAAAAGGTTGGAATTAAAAATGGCTCCAGACTTCTCAGTAGGAATTCTGGGAGCTAGAAGCCAATGGAGTCCTCCTGGAAGTCCTCTTTCCTAACTGTCTTTAGTTGCACTGTTGTGGCTGCCTCTATATCCTGAATCAATTCAAAACATTTACCTTTCCTGTTCATGTTGATTTCAGGAAGAGCCACAAGCTGCAAAGTACTAGATCCAGTGAATAAGCTGGATGAAGAACAGTAATGTTTTTATAAGCCTGCCTTTCCATTGGATGGCATTCAGCAGCAGTATTCACTGTACTTTGATCACACCTTGTAAAGACACTCAGGAAAGAAAACTTCCAAAGCTCCTTTGGAAAGTGGCAAGAATGATGGGATAAGTGTATTTTAAGCACAGAGCAGTTTTTTTGTTTTTGTTTTTGAGAAGAATAATAGCACTGTTTTTATGGTAACAAATGTTAAAAATTTAACCATTTATCATAGTTTTGATCACCCCTATATGTCTTTTTGTTTTGTTTGAATGTTTGCCATCTGCTTACATTATTCAAAAAAAAATTTAAGCCTATTTAAGAGATTCCAACGATTAGCTAGATTGAAAACCACTTATATTAGGTAATAAGGTTCTCGTTCCTCACTACCTTTTCACCATAATCATGGCGTACATCTGGTCTATAGGAAGGGATGTCAGCCAGAACTGCTTTGCTGCTCTGATGAAATGCAAAGATCATCTGGAAGTCAATTTCCTGACAAGACAAACCCAAGACTCATAGTTAGATCATCTGAATAAACACATGGCTGAATGGATGAACAAATGAGCATGAAGCAGCCATTTGAGTCATTTGGGTGTGGGTAAATGACAGGAAGAAAGTAAAGTTAGGGGAAATTGCCTGGCATTACAAATCCTGATTGCTGAGACATGACATTTTCTGCAGATATATACTGAGTGTAGGAAGCAAAATTGCAATGTTGGATTTAGTCTTGCCACCTTAATGTGAGAAACTGGTGTCTGGTTTAACCCATTAGCTGCATGACATCATTAAGTAGCATACAGATCAAGGTCTAGATTTTAATTACCATTGTCTTTCTCTGGAAGAAAAGGAGCTCCGAGAGTTTCCTTGTGAACCATGAGCCAGGTCTGTTCACATACTTGATGTAAGAAACACATTAGGGCTGGAGATTATAGTCATGTGTTCAATCTTCAACAGTGAAAAGAAAGCCTTTAAGAACTTATCTAATACACTAGTTATTTTCAAGACATTTCAAAAGAGTCTGTTAAATGAAAGATATGATCCATCTAGTCAACTTTTCATGAACACATTAGTAAGAATATATTCTAAACATTCCTCACAAATTACCATAGGATAGCAGCTTTAGCCTCTTGGACAAATACTACCAGATTCTTTAATATCGGATACAAATGCCATACAGGGAATTAACATCTCATATCCTACCTGATAGAATCTTTGAAGATAATTTTGATTTTTTTCTCCTGAGATCAAGATGACAATACCTTTGTAAAAATGTCCCCATGACACAGTACCCCATGTATTACTAGAGTGACACAAAAAGCATTATAGTTTATATCTTTTTTGAGCATAGATCTCAGCTGTATCAATTATTAGCTAGCTCTAATCTTAGCAAACTGCTTAGCATCTGAATTTTAACATTTACTCTCTAGAATGAGTCAAAACCTGCTTCACAGGGTTGTTCAGATTAAATGAAATTGTATGTGTGTGTTTATCTCTTTAAAGTCATAAAGTACTCATAAACCCAGTTAGTCCTAAAACAATAATAACAAAATCAGTAATAGTACTCATCTTCTCCAGGGTAGTGTTATTTGTGCTGTTATACAACTAGAAAGGAATGAATTGAAGTTGTACTGTTATTTTAAGGTGTAGGTGATTTCCCTATAAATAGAAAATGCACTTCCCTTGATTCCTTTAGTTTTATGGCTCTTCTGTCCCTCCTTAAAAAGAGTGACTGAAAAAAGAGACAAGATTAAATTTAAACCAGTCACTGTCTCTTTTTTTTTTTGTCTCTTTATTATTAGCTTTTATATATAGGTAGAGAAGATAAATATAAAAATTGAATCAAGGCTTTCCTGTATCAGTGGATTTCAAATATCAACATAATCTCTATTCTTCATTGTCATGGATCCCTAACAATTGACTATTGCTTTCTCAGTTATAGTCAGTCTATTTTTAATATTCATCTTCTGTTAAATCTCTGCTGAAGATAATAAAAGATTTAGATTTAGAAAGTGCCTTAGCGTTGGAATGAGACAGACGCTATAAATAGATATGTCAATGAAATAGGTTAGGGTGAGATCTAATTCTGAGTCTCAGAATCAAAGAAGATATTCTGTCTGGGCTGTGTACTGGCACAGGCATGTGTGCAGGGGTCTCTGGACAGAGCCATGTATGTGCACATTCCCATATATGTGTACATCAATACATGCATGGAACATGTATGAGCATATTACTGAGGACATAGTTCCAACGGCTACTGTATTTCTGAATGATCTGGTCTTTGTGAACCAGGTGAATCTTCTTCTTCCAACAATTATTACTGGAAAATTCAGGATAAAACCTTATTCTCAGGTAGTCAACCTCTATCCTATGGGACACCGGCATGCTGAGTATGTGATTCCATTGCCCTTGTCCTTTCCAGGACCAAACTGAGAACTTGTCAGGACAAGAGGTCCATGGTGACATTCCAGTCTGCCTGCAGTGAGGTCAGCTTGGCACCTGGCTACCAGTCATAGCCTGTAGAATGCCTTTACCTGTCATTCCTAAAATTTCAACCTATTCTTCCAGGTCCAGAGTAAACACTTCCTTTTCTATGAATTCATGCTATTGTTGTAATCTTCCTCTTCTGATAGCATATAGTCCTTTCACACAACTTTCATATTTGTCATACACTGCTTTGAATTGGGATTGATAAGTACCTGTTTTGTTTTGTGAGACTGGGGTCTCTTCATAGACAAAAAGCAATGCCATTCATCTCCGTCACCCCAGCAGCACCTAATACAGTACCAGGAGGCCACTCATATTTGCTGAACAGATGTGGACTCCTGGTTGCTGCCCTCTGGGTGCATCCATGTTGTTGATGTTGCTGTTAGTTTGTGGCACCTAGAAAGGGAAGCATTAGGAATAAGGTGTCAGTTGAAGGAAATGGTAAAGAAAAAATGAGCATCCCTGAACATTTTATGATACAAGTAATAATATGTTGCACACTAACAGAATTGTTATGATTTTGGAGCAGTTTCTCTGTGACGTGTGATTCTCAGTGATAATAAGAGATAATGCGAGAACCATCTGATACACAGATGAGTTGTAATAGGAGACGGACCCGAGGCCAAGACAGTGACCCGGATGAAGTTGTATGGTACTGCTCTAGCTCGAGATTCCAGAGTGTATACAACCAGAGCACCCCAGGACTTTGTAATTTAGGGCCGATACTGACTAGGATAAAGACTAAATGTCAAGACTGAAAGGACTCCCCAAGTTCTTTCACTGACTCCTTAGCCTCTCCTGGGGCAGTTTTTGTTCCTTCCCTCCAACCCTTATTACATAGCTGACTACAGTCAGTGCTTCACAACATCAGAATTCATTTTTCCATTAATAAATTCTACAAACACAATAAGCTTTTGGTATTAGGAAAAGAAAAAAATCTGTTTCAGTTGAAAAAAGATAAGTGACCTCAAATTGTTGAGTGTTATTAAAATAATGTGTTTCTATTTCCTGGACAAATTTCTTTCAAATACCTGATGTTTTCTAAGAGTGTCTTTTTTTCAGTGGGTCCTTGAAAATTAACTGCATAAAGCTAGAATTTAACACATAACACTAAATGGCAACAACATGCTTTTCAAGTTTAAACCCAAATGGTCTGTAAGTCTTTGTCAGTTACAATCCTTCCTAGAATCACAGGCATTTGCTAATCTTCCCTAAGTAAATTCTGCCCCCTTGTGGATTAAAACATCTATAGCTAGGAAAGAAGTGCATTGATTGCACGGGCACCTGGGTTCCTCTCAGTTCTTTCAGAGAATTCCAACAATAAAACTAGACTCTGTTTAAATTGTGTAAGAGTTCATTGGCGATAACAAATATACTCATATATGTTAGTATATGTGTGTATTTCACATTTCACATTAGAGTCAACTAGTGCAGTGCCTGGAATATACTAAAAACTCAATAAATAAATATTTCATAGTATGAATATTTTCAAGATCCATATATAAGGATTCCTTTTACACCCCTGAAATAGTCCTAGATTAATGACTCTAGTAATGGAAAATTCACTAAATAATACAGCTCGTTCTCTTGTCAGACAGGACTGTTTTGTAGCTCATCAACATATTAAGCCCAAGCTGGAGACACAGCTCAGTGGTAGAGCTCTTGCCCAGCAGGTTCAACCTCAGAACTGAAAAAAAAAAAAAAAAAAAAAAAAAGCATTCAAATAGCTTAAGTCTTTGATAAGAGAATCACATAATTCTAGAACTAGAAAAAGGTGTTAGAGATCTCCCAGCCTATCATCTTATGATCAAATCTATTATGCCATTTCAATCTAAATCTGCCCTTGGGAACAACATTCAGTAAGCTTATCACTTATTTTGTAGCCTTTCAAATGATGGAAGGCAGCTCACACACTGCCTTTTACTCTTCCAGCCTCCTCACTTATTCACTTACATTTGTGCCAACTATTTTTCATGATGTGTTTTTCAGACCTCATCATTTCCTGGCCACATTTCTCTAAATGCCAACTTTTATCAATGTCCCTCCCAGTTTTAGCATCCAGAACTAAACATAGATGCTCTGGATATACTAGCTGGCCTTGGATAAAGTAAAATAGAGCCATTACTCTCCACGTTTATAACATCGGACTTCTATGGATGCAGCCCCAGTAACCACAGCTCTTTCAGTAACCACACCAACTGTAGTTCAATGATTTTTTTTTTTTTTTGAGGCAGGCATCTCACTGTGTAGTGCAGGTTGGCCTTGAACTTGCTTATGTAGCCCAGGCTGGCCTTGAACTCACAGTGATCCTCCTGCCTCACCCTCCCGAGTGCTGGGATTGCAGGTGTATGCCACCATATCTAACTAATAAAATTGTGATAGTCTTCTAGATCCTTCAGGTTGTTCTTGCCCTGGACTTGTTTGAAGCAGTGTTTGAAGGTTTTTGGTTTTGGGTGCTAGGGATCCAACCCAGGGCCTTGTGCATGTAAGAGCTTTGCTATTAAGCCATAGCCCTGGCTCTAGCTATAACTTGTAATGTTGTCTCTATTAGATTTCTTCCTGCATTTGGCTCCAATCTCAGCTAGTTAGATAATTATGTATCTCACATGTGTCCAAATAGATTAGCTCTACTACCTAGCTTTGTAAATCAACATTTAAACAAACAATTCTGTTTCTAAATTACCAATTTCAAGGTAAAGACAGAGAAAGAAGACAGAATAAAAGCTGAAGGTAGGCTGTCTCTGCAGTGCCTCCCACTGGCCATGTGCCCTCAGCTGTGTGGCCTCAGTGTTTTCTTCTTTAAAACAGAGCTGAGCAGAGCATCTGGTCCATGCTTACAATTCTAGCCGCTCTAGAGACTGAAACAGGAAGAGCTCAACTTTGAGGCTAGCCTGGGTAACTTAACAAGACCCTGTCTTGAAATAAAAATAATAAATTTAAAAGGGTAAAGATACAGCTCAGTGAAAAAGGAGTCTGGGGTCAATCCCTAATTCTGAAGAAAAAAGAAAAAAAAAGAGCTGATAACATTAGCTTACTGAATAGTCACAGTCCTCCCAAGAGACAGTGCATTTGAATGAACTATTAATTGTTAAATTTTTGTGAGGTAACATCATAGATAACATCACATGTAACATCAGCTTTCCAAGGGTTGGCGGGAAGAAGAGACTGTTGCCATCATTATATTCCATGAACCATCCCTATCTGGAAGAGCTTAGTGTAATTTTTCAGTGTGGATAAACAATGTAAATTATGCATTGAAACAGTTTGTCACAGAAGGAAAAGGAGGTGAGCAGACCATTTTTAATCAATATGTTTTTAATCTGAAAACTTAGGGCTGGGGTTTGAGCACAGCCTGAGCAACTTAGCAACCTGATGAGACCTTGTAGCAAAATAAAAAAGGGCTGGGGAAGTAACTCAGTGTGGAGCCCCTGGGTTAAACCCTGTATCAAGGTGTGTGTGTACTGTGGGGATTCTATCAGGCATTTAGCAGCTCACGGTAGATGTGGGTTTTCTCTTCCAAAGACCCTCATATAGGTGCTCGGTGGAGATATTCTGGGGTTGGTCTGAGTGTGGGGCTAGAAAAGCAAAATGCACAGTATAGAACTGGAACTGCACTAGTTCACAGTGAGGGAGCTTGAAGTAGGCTGACAGGAGGGCACCCGTGGTCCCTTTTGCTTAGACTGCTCCCTGCACCTGGAATGTTCCCTTCCTGCAAACTCTGTGTGGCAAAAGCAGGTCTGTTTTTCTAGAACTGCCTCCATCCCACTTGCTCAGTGGTGTCTTCTGTAATTGCTCTCGTCAGAAGTGACCTTCCATACAGCACTACAAATTTTCTTAGACACGCTGATGATGTTGTGGTTGTAGAGAAGAACATCTTCAGTTTCAGGAGATGCCTGATGAAACATTCACAGGTACAATGCCGTCTGCAACTTACTTTCAACTAGTAGAGCAACAAATACAAAGAGATAAAGCAAGTGTGGCCAAATACTAATAGCTGTCAAGCAAAATGACTTCCAGGTATCTCACAATCATCACGTGCCTCCTTGATGTGTGTTTTCTGGTTTTCCTTGTCTTTGAAAACACAGAACGTACAACTATGAATAAATTACCATTTGTGAAGTGTGTACTACTGCAACGGCAATCAGATACACCAAAATGTCCCCCAGGATTTGGAGGCAGATTTATTTATGGCGACTGGCACTGATCAGGATCATTCCCAAAATATCAGGGATCATACCCGATCTCTGGTGGTCTAGGGCTTATATGGGATAAGCAAGCAGGAAGTATAGAGGCAGAGTGGCTTGTCACTTGGGGACTGGTTCTTACGATATGCATCATAGTGACCAACTACACATCACAGTGACCAGCCGTTTCTAAAAAACAAAAGTAGCAGGAACTGGAACTGTTACCTGGGCAACTAACAAACTGAAGCATACTGGCTGGGAGTGGGGCATCTTATGCTAAACTATGTACCACATGCCCTGCTAGTTACTTTGCATACAACATATATTTGCATGTGACAACATTTCAAGGGTAATGATTGTTTTTACTTTCATTTTACAGAGAAGAGTAAAACCCATAGTGGTCACTGAATGAACTGGTTTTACAGCTACTACTTAAATCCATGTGTAAAAAAAAAAAAAAAAAAAAAAACTCCTGTCTGACTCCAAATCGCATGCTGTCTCCTGAACTGTATTGAGGCTTACAGAAATGGTCCAGAATTTTCATTCATGCATATGTGTGAACAATAACCTCTACAAAATTACATATATACCATGTTTCCCCCAAAGTAAGAACTAGCTAGAGAATAATCAGCCTCGAAAACTAGAGTAAGTATTTGGGAAATTGGAAGAATTCTGTTAGGAAAGTGTTATGGCTTGTATGTAGATGTCCCCCGAAAAGCCTCATGAGGTCATAGGTAGGGCTTTTCAGAGGTTGCTAGATCTGAAGTGTGTGATGCTGGGATCAAGGGTATGTGATGATTATGAAATTAGTCCACTGACTGGTTTGGCACAGTTCTGGCTAGGATTAAGGGTAGCCGACCCTAGGTATAAGTGCTACCTGCCCTAAAGGTGGGCAGCCTGGATAAGATATAAGGGACAGAAAGGGTTGCTGCTCTGTTGCTCACTTGCTGCTTGCTGCTTACTGCCTTTTTCATGCCTGCCTGTTCTGCAGTGCCCCTCTGCCATGCCACCTTCCCTTGCAGCCAGCCAATTATGAACGGAAACCTCTACAAATTGTGATCTGCCATAAACATTCTCTCCTTTAGCTTTGGGTGTTGAGCATTTTGTCTCAGCAGTGGGAAAAGTAACTAAGAAAATAAGAGAGGAAGATATTTTTTTCAAATGTAGTATCCTAGTTTCTATTAAAAGAATACCTACTTCATCTTCCTTGAAGGGTCTTGAAGGCTTAAAATAATTATTATGATTTAATAAAATGTTATTCTCTAACTTTTCAGAGAGTTAAAAAAAAAAAAACCCTAACCTTAACCAACAACGACAACAAAAAACCTAACCTTACCTAACTCTAGATAACAGTCATCTCAAAAAAAAACTTGCAGGAAACATAAACAGGGAGGAGCTCACATTTTACAGAGACTCCTATTGTCATCACTGTTCTAGGGGCTCAGTGTCTTATTAATTACCTCAGTGTCTTATTAAATGTCCATTTTTTAGATGAAAACACTAAGGCTCAGAATAAGAATTCTTCTAATTCTTGCCCTATTTGTTAAGTGCCTGAGTTGTGTGCAAAAGCCCCACTGAAAAGAAGCCTACAGCTTCCATAGAGGCATTTCACATGGACATAGAGAAGCAGTCCTAACCACTGCCACCATGTGATACCTCTTCTCATAGTGAATGATGTGACAAAGTCTCAGAGGCTGAACTTGCCATGGTGCTACCGGCCTGCAATCCCAGCTCGCTGGAAGTTGAGACAGGAGAATAGGAAGTTCAAGCACAGCCTGAGCAATTCAGTGACTTAGCATAACCCTGTCTAAAAAAAATAATAATAATAATTAAAAACAATAAAGGAAAGGAAAGAAAAGAAAAGAAAGAAAAAAAGGAAATTATTTCCTTACAGGCAATTCTGCCACTAGCTAGCTTTGTGACTTGACATTTCAGTTCTCTGGTCTATAATTTTCTGGTAAATTAAATTGATGATCCCCAAGTTTTGTTGTTGTTTTGATTTTATAAACAAAGATGAATCCTTCGGTGCCCAAAGAACCCTAGGCTAGCCATGGGGTGATTGGACTGCCCCTTCCCTCTTATACATAAAGACACATGCAGAGCTGTCCCTAAGCCTTAGAATTAAACACAGCCCAGGCCCTGGTCTGCATAGGCTAACAGCAGTATAGATTTAAAAAAAAGAAAAGACTACAGAAGGACATAGACCTCTGCAGATCCTGCTGGCCTCTTGAGAGTCTGGGGAGCTGAGGCTCTGTCAGAGAAGCCTATAGGTTCATGAGTTTCAGTTGAGGTTCTTGCCTTGGTGGAGTCACTTATATCACTGAGGGCCCCTCCCTACATGGCTGTAGTTAATTCTGGATATCATATAAATAGAACTTGGCACTCTGTCAAGGCACAGCACCGCTACTATGTTCCGGTCCTTCTGGGACAGCAACCAAATCTGAGCCTTTGATTCCCTCTAGTGGCGTAACTCAGCAAGTTTCATAGCAGACTGCATTCATTCAGTGTATAGTAAGCACCTACTGTGTGCACTATATTGATGCTGGGTTGTTTCGCAAGGCCTGGGGGATCAGGTCTGTGGTTTCACTGAGCACTGTTGTGCCCAGTAGGGCTGGAGGCCAGAGTTCCTTACAAGCTTAGCTTAGTACAGTGAAGACTGGCAAATTTCTGAGCCACTCTGTAGCTAGCTGTCTGATGGGAACTGAAAAAAAATGAGTTATTACATAGATTATTTCTGTTCCACATGAGTTACTAGGACCTTGGGCTGGCTTTCTTAACCCTGTACCCTTACTGTGTGTTATGGTTTGTCACTAGATGTCCCCCCAAAGCCTCATGTGGGTGTCCAGAGTTTGTGATTGATTCATGATTCAATGCTGGGATTATGGGTGTGAGTCCTACACCCACCCTAGGGTGGGTAGCCTGCATACAATATAAGGGAGGGAAAGAGGCTTGCTCTCCGCTCCTCCCTTTTTGCTCTTGTTGCTTTTGCTATCTCCTGCTGCCATGAATTGCTGCCCTCTGCCATGTGCCACCTTGCCTTGGAGCTAGCCAAGCATGGACTGAAACCTCCACAAACTGTGAGCTAAATAAACCTTTCCTTCCTTAATTCTGGGCATCAGGTATTTTGTCCTAGCAATGAGAGAAAAGTAACCAAGACAGTTTGCTTGTTAGTCTAGGCTGGCCTTGAACTCACTATGTAGCCCAGGCTAGCCTTGAACTTTCAGCAATCCTCCTGCTTCAGCCTCCCGAGTGCTTGGATTTCAGGCATGTGCTGCCACACCCAGCTAAAGTATGATTTTTATTATCAATCGCACCACATATATTGGACCAAAATGAGGGCAACATCTGAATTCCTCTCATGGTCTTACACTATGCTTTACATTTATTCTAACAGGACTCAGTGAGGTATGCATGACAAGGGATGACACAAAACAGAAGTTAGGGTCGTCATTGCAAACCTGAGCACGTTGGAAACTAAGAATTATTATAGGCAGCCCATGAGTTATAGTGAAAGGCAGAGCAGACTATGTAACTATGCTTTCTTAGGAACTTTCTCATCACTGGGACAAAATAGCTGATACCCACAAGTCAAAGGAGGAAAGGCTTACTTTGGCTCACAGTTTGTAGAGGTTTTAGTTCATAGTTGCTGGCTCCAGGGCAAGGGGCATGGCAGAAGTACATGGCAGAGGAGGCTTGCTTGGGCATGACAGGCAGGAAGCAGTGAGCTAGTCTTTCTTCTTTCCCTTTATATTCCATCCAAGCTATAAGCCTATTGGCTGGTGCTACCCACACCCGGGGTGTGGGAGCTTCCTATTATCCATACCCAGAACCACACTAAACCAACCAGTGGACTAATCCAGTTATCACACCCATAATCCAACGTCACACACCCATGATCCAGCCATCTCCTAAAAGCCCCACCTATGAGCAGATGAGGCTCTGGGGGGACATCTAGATATAAGCCGTAACATATGCATTGCAAATAGGTGGCGAAGTTTGGGGAGAATAGTTGCATACAACTTTGAAATAGCCATAGCTAATGGGTAGTATCTACAGTAACAAATTTCTATATTTCCCTGTCTGGGAATCTGACCTGCAGGTCAGGGAAAAACAGTTGAACCAAAGAAGCAGTTGACCTTTTAGGGTCAAGGTGTTAAATGACCCGGTGTCTCATCATATCAATTCATTCATCTTCAGTACTATAGTTTAATAGTCAATAATGTTAAGTATTAAGAGAGAGTAATAGGAAAGAAGAGAGAAGGTGGGCTGGGAGTCTATCTTAGTTCAGGCTGCTATAACCAACTACCATAGGCTTGGTGCTTTATAAATTACAAATTTTTTTTTTTTTTTTTTTTTTTTTCAGTTCTAGGACTGTAAATCTAAGATCAAGGTGCTAGAGGGCTAGGATATAACTTATAGGTACAGCACTTGGCTAGCATGCACGCAAGGCCCTGGGTTTTATCTCTAGCACTGAAGAAAACAAAGCAAACAACAACAAAAACTAAGGTGCTGATCAATTCATAAACAGCCAACTTGTCTCTGTGTCAGCACACAATGGAATGACCTACGGAGTTCTCTGGGTCTCTTATAAGGGCATTAATCTCATTCATAAAAGTTTTTTTGTTTTTGTTTTTGTTTTTTTTTAATTCATAAAAGTTTCATTCCCCTGGCCTAATTACTTCCCAAAAGTCCCATCTTCAAATATCATACTGAGGGGTGGGTCTCCATACATAAATATGAGGAACGACGTGACCAGGGTCTACAGTTGCTTTTCCCATTGATGGAAAAAGATGAAAGCTAGAGGTAAGGAAAGCCTAAAGTGGTGCTAAGTTTCTATTGGCCAAAGAGATATTGTGTATCCAAATGGGGTAACTTAGAATTTTGTTTTGAATAGAAAGATTTGTTTCATATTTTGAAACTATATTACATGAACGTAGACAGAAAGGCAACAGAGGCTCCAGTGATAAAACTGTGTGTGTCCTGAAAGGAAACAGGAATGCCTTATAAGAGCCCTCTCTTCCCCAGAGGTGTTCTTCCAATGCAGGGAGGTCTGGGAGGGTAAACCGTCTTTCAGAGAGCTCTGAGGAGTGACCTGGAAATACAGCCTCACACTGGGGCCAATTTTGAGGAGAATGCCAATTTCTGTTTGCGCTCATCCCACATACAGTGTACCTGCAGGATGAAGAAGGAAAATACAGGGACTTGACAGACATTAGCCCAGGCACAACTGATGGAATAGGACAGTTTCCAAGAGCTTTATGACACAAGAGCTTTATGAAGAAATGAAGCAATGGGTAGGGGGCTGCCCCTTCCTGTACCGTAACTGAGGGTGGACATGATCTTAGGAACTGTGTGGGTATCTGCACGACAAAGGAGGCACCGCAGTCAGGAAATAGGTTCATTTATTCCTGGGTATCACAGTGGACTTAAATCCAAACTCAGAGCCCACCATTTCAATAAAATATGCCATTCTCCCTACTTTCCTAGTTGCTGGGCATGCAACTGCCATCCTACCAGTCCAGCAGGCTTGAAAACAATCTTAAGTTTGGAATTATTTCTTTATCTTCTTAGATCCAGTAAGTTGCTGTGTTCTGTAGTTTTGACCTCCATGTTACTTCTCAAACTTTATCCTTCGAACAGGAGTTGCTGGGCAGCTTAGTGCATGGTTTCCTTAAGCATCGTCATCTTTTGGGAACCCTCTGCTAGAAGACGGAAAGATCAAAAGATGCCCACAGGAACATCCCACAGTTATACGTTGTGACAGTTTCCCATACGTATTGCCATTCAGTTTCTGCACTGCTCATCGTACATTTTTCTCTTCCAGTTTCCTTCTGTGTTGGAACCCTGGGAACTCACACTGAGATCAAAAGAGTGGCAGAGGAAAAGGTCACTTTGCCCTGTCACCATCAACTGGGGCTCCCTGAAACAGACACCCTGGATATCGAATGGCTGCTTACTGATAATGAAGGGGGACAAAAAGAGGTAAGTGTACACAGGGCTAGAGTCCCCCTCTCCCTGGTCCGTCTATGTTTACATTCCTCAGTCTTCCAGTCTTTCTCATTGGATCTGAAAGAGCAGCAACTGTTTTCATCTGGCTTACACTTGAAAGAGTTTAGCTTTAGATAAAAAACTACGGGGGATTTGGGTTGTTGGGATAAGATATTATGCTCTTTGTATAAGCAACAGCACCTAGAAAGCTGTTTGGCACTGGACTGGGAAATGAATGTGCATTATTAGCATCTTGGAGTAAGACATAGCATTTTGATCCCCTAGTTGCATGGGCAGAACCTGAAGCTTAGAATTCTAGGGGCCAGCTTTTCCTCGTCTTGCACCATCACCATTTGGTAGGCCTGTTTGCACAGTTATGACTTCCAGGCTGTAAGATGATATAATGTGATACACCAGGCATAGTAGCACACACTTATAAACTCAGTTACTTGGGCAGCTAAGGCAAGAAGACAGAAAGTTCAAGGCCATCCCTGGGCAATGTAACAAGTCTTATAATTTTAAAAAGGCTTGGGGATGTAGTTCAGTGGTACAGCACTTGCCTACCAAGCATAAAGCCCTGGGTTTAAGGCCTAACAGCAAAAAATAGATACATGATCCAGAAGAGGAAGTAGAGTACGTGAATGAAAATGCTGCGCACACATATAACTGGCCAGCAAAGGAACTGATACCTGCTCTGGAGGTGGCAAACAAAGGAGCCCAGCGCTCAGGTTGGATAAAGCCAAGAGGGGCCGCGGGTTTCATGTGCTTCTGGCTCTGCCGCCTGAGGACCCACTGGCAACTAACCTACCCTTATTATCCTTGCTGCCTTGTCTGCATGCAGCCATGACAGCTGTCCTCAATCAGGCATGCTACCATAAGGCTTTCCACTTCTTTTCCTCACTGACTTATTTTGTTGCTGTTATTCAAAAACTTATCTTTCTGTTTAAAATTTTGTGATTTAAAAAAATAAATTAATTAAATTAAATTAAATTTGAAAAGCCCTGTAACTTAAGGATACTTTTAAATTTTACAGAGCTTTACTTCTTTTCCTGCTAAAAAATAAAAAGTTTCCTTCCCTTCTCTGTCTCTACCACTAATATAAGATGGTTTATGCTGGGAGAAGCTGAGGTTTTCACTAAAAATGCATTTCAGGCTCACTGTTGGGAGTTTCACCTGCTTAAGTAGCTGTCTACATCACTTTAATGCTTTGATTTGGGTTATACATCAAATATATGCCCATTGGATATAAACTTGTACTTGTCTGTGATGGAGTCAGAGTTCAAACCAGTCTGTCTCCTCTGTAAGACCCCAGTGCAGAGGTCCCTATAACTATCACCACTGCCTCCCTCCGAATAATCTGCCTCATCATCTTTAACAAGTATCACTAAATAATTTTCTCTTTAACAATGCCACAGAGCAGGGGCTGGGGATTTAGCTCAGCGGCAAAGCGCCTGCCTGGCAAGCGCAAGGTCATGAGTTCGGTTCCTGGTACCGGAGGAAAACCAAAAAAAAAAAACAGTGCCACAGATCTAATTTTAATCCAAGTGTTTTCATTTGAACTAAAGAAAAAATAAGTTCCTTGAACTTTTTTAGAAAGTGAAGAGTAAGCAAGTTTATGTTGATTTTAAAAGTCCCAATTCCTGATTATACCTGTAATCCCAGCACTGGAGGTTGAGGCAGGAAGATCACTGGGAGTTCAAGGCCAGCCTGGGCTCCATAGTGAGTTTAAAACCAACCTGAACTACATAGTGAGACCTTGTCTCAAAGCAAAACAGTCCTAATTCCCTCCTTATCTTCAGTTGATAATCTAAGATAAACATGATCATTTATCTAATCATTCAGATTGCACAAATTTATTTAGCACTTACTGTATGCCATGCTAGGTACCAGGATACAATAGTGAAGAACCATCATAGTCCCTGCCTTTTGGCAGTTTATAATGAAAATATATTCAATACCTTAGAAGCAAGGAAGGGAGGAATATTAGCTACATGCCAGATACAATTCTGTTTAGCACATATTATCTTGTTTTATACTCATGACTAGGATTAGACACATCTTACAAACATGGAACTGAGTTATGTACACATACATAAGTGCTCACACATACCCATACACACACAAGTGTGGTGAGCAAATTGACCTGAGAAGATCATGTTTTTAAATGGATGAGCACAGCATGATGCTGTTATCAGGTGGTGGGTCCTGAGGAAATCCTTTTCAGGTTCCTGATGTCCTGAATAAAGAATTGGAGAAGACACACAGAAAAGGTAGCCAGGAGCCGGGCATGGTGGTGCATGCCTGTAATTCCAGCACTTGGGAGGCTGAGGCAGGAAGATCATTGAGAGTTCGAGGCCAGCCTGGGCTACAAAGTCAGCTCAAGGCCAGCCTGAACTGCATAGTGAGACCTTGTCTCAAAAAGACCAAAAAAAAAAAAGAAGAAGAAGAAGAAAAAGAAAAGGTAGCCAGGCCAGGCGTCATGTCACACACCTATAATCCCAGCACTGGGAGGCTAAGGTAGGAGGATCCATGGGAGTTCAAGGCCACCCTGGACTACAAAGTGAGCTCACAGCCAACCTGAACTGCATAGTAAAACCCTGTCTCAAGACGACAAGCAAAGAGAAAAAAAGAAAAGAGAAGAAAAGAAGAAAAGGAGAGGTAGCAGGTATATATTTATCAAGGTGGAAAAGGAGTACACTCCGCTGAGTGCAAGCAGGCTGGCGAACACACTCACAGCACCCCTAGGATAAAGGAGAGGGATCTTTTGTATCCAAAATTCCTGGATTGGATTCCCTTCCTACAAATAAGGCCTTGGGATAGTTGTCCTATCAAAACCTCACATGGGCTGGTGCCAGACATAAACTGCCCGATGGAAAGACTCACTTGGCTTCTTGCTAGAAGTAAATGAAGAATTGAAAATAGTACTTTCCTGACTGGCTCCATGTACAGTGCTCCGGAGCCACCATCATCCTGGAACTTGAGTTTTGTGCATGTCTCCTGGGTTTGACATTCTACCCAGCTGTTTGACTGGTTTGCTACAGCCCTAATCTCCCACCTCAACACACTTGTGAGATACTGGGTAGGAAGCAGCAATGAGCCGTAGCTCCCAGTCAGCCACATGATCATGAGGCGCAGCAACCAAGACTTGACAGAGGATGGTCTTGCTAAGATAGTGTTCAGTGGGTTAGGGTTTTAAGTGCATTCTGACTTCCAATATTTTCAACTTGAAATTACTGGAAGGTAACCCCATTGTAAGTGGAAGAGCATTTGTAGAATACCATTGCTTAATCCTGTAATGATGTTGGCCACTGAGTTCTAAAACTATCTCTTGCAGCACCTTGTTTTCAGTGGCACTAGAGATTGAACCCAGGGCCCTATGTGTGCCAAGCACCATTCCACTGAGCCACACTCCCGTGCCCTGAAATTGTCTTTTTTTTTTTTTTTTTTTTGAGACAGGGTCTCGCTATTCCAGACTAGCTTTGAACTCACTATGTCGCCTAGGTTAATCTTAAAACTCACAACAGTCCTCCTCCCTCAGCCTTCTAAATGGTGGGATTATAGGAACATGCCACTAAGCCCAGCATGAATTTGTCTCTTTATACATTTATTTTTTTGACTGCCTTCTTTGCTGAAGGAATGTGTATAGTGGAATCCCAATAAATATTTATTAAATTTAGTCCATTTATTTATTTTTTTTATTTTATCTTCCTGTCTTTCTGAAACAGTCTCACTATGCAGTTCAGGCTGGTGTTGAGCTCACTTTGTAGCCCAGGCTGGCCTCAAACTCACAGTGATCCTCCTGTCTCAGCCTCCTGAGTGCTGGGATTACAGGCATGCACTACTACACATGGCTAGTTCATTGATTTTTAAAATTTATTTAGTTAGTTAGTTAGCTAGTTAGTTATATTGTCTTTTTGAGACAGGGTCTTGCTATGCAGTTCAGGCTGGCCTTGAGCTCACTTTGTAGCCCAGGCTGGTCTCAGACTCACAATGATTCTCCTGCCTTAGCCTCCCAAGTGCTAGGATTACAGGCATGTGCCACTACACCCAGCTAAAATTTATTTTTCACATTTTAAAATTTTAGTGGTACATTTTAGATATAATGATAACATTCACCATAGAGAATTTGTACCTGTACACGATATATAGTGCTTCTTCTTTTCCCATTCCCCTCCCCTCCCTTCAAACCCTCTTCCCCTCATTTACAAAAGCTTTGTTTCCGTGTTTTCCTTCTATTCTTTTTTTTTTCCTTCTTTCCTTTCTCCCGCCCCCTCCCTTATTCTCCTTCTCATTTGAACATTTTCTTCCCATTTCCCAATATCTATTGTACATTTGGTCCTTATATACACTTTCAGTTTCTCACACCAGAGAGACAATGCAGTATTTAAACATGTGTGTCCAATTTATTTCACTTAAAAGTACAGTCTCAAGGTGCATCCATTTACCTAGAAATGTCTCAAGTTTACCCTTCTTTATGGCAGAGTAGTACTCTATTATATTTAAAAAAAAAAAAAACAACACATCTTTATGTGGTTGCACCAGACTACACTCCTACCAACAGTGGAAAAGGGTTCCTTTCTCACCATAGCCCCCACAGTATTTGTTATTGGTTGATTGCTTGATAATAGCCATTCTTTCTGAAGAAGGAGTCTCATTGTTGTTTTAATTTGCATCTCTTTAATGACCAGTGATGTTGAACATTTTTTATATACTTATTTGCCATTTCTACTTCTTCATCTGAGGAGTGTCTATTCATTTCAGGCTGTCACTGGTAGACAAAGCAGACAGACAGGGTCTAGGTCAGTGTTGACTAAGCCAGCTGTAGATTTACAATGGGGCAGTGGATAATCCCAGCAAGCCTGCACCTTTAGTTTCTTTGAACTTCAGGCTAGTTTCTGCTGTGAGGCTAGAGCCCAATCTGTTCAGCCTGCAGCATTCTGCCAGCCTGAACTCAGTTCCACCTTACCCCGACACTGGAACCTGCTAGATGGAGC